GGGCTTTCATGAAGAGTTTTCTAATATTTTGAAGTGTAACATTTCTCTTTGATATAGGTATGTGATGAGCCTCATCCTCTGCTTGTGAAAGAAATGATACAACACTGCATAAGTGCAAATATTGATGAAGCATACAAGGTTGGTTTTCATGTGTTTTGTCTGCATTGACTTTTTCTCTACAGAATGCTTGTTTGTGTTGGAGAATTCACAGTGTGTGTTGTTTTTTAAGATAAAGGCAATACCATGGAGATGAGTTGATGAATTAAATCCTTTTTATGCAGGGGTCTGGTTCAGATGATTAAGCCAACAAGCAAAAAAAACGAGTTGTATTGAAATTACTTGCTAAACAACTGAGGTTAAATCATTCGATAAATAGTACGTATGGTTCAGTAGTTATATACAGCTGTTCCAAAAGTGAATATACTCGACTCACCTGGGAAGTTTTGCAGATAAATGAGGGATTATTCTTGCCTGTACAGATTCTTGCCCACCTGTGGCGACTTGGATACTCTCCAGAAGATGTGATTGGCAACATCTTCCGTGTGTGTAAAACCTTTCAAATGCCAGAATATCTGAAACTGGAATTTATCAAGGTTAGTGCTAACCTAGTTCCTGGTGGGGTCTTCTGGGCCTTTTTAAGGACAGGGTGGGATCCCTAACCCAGGGGCAGCCTCAGGGTTTTCTGTTTGAGATTTGCTGTACATCAGCACGAAAGAAGGATTTCGTAACTTAGCACTGCTTGCTTTCCCATGCTGCATCATCCGTTTGCCAGCAAGAATGGTCACTTGAAGTTTAAACTGTAACCAGCTACAGAAGTGCCAAAAGTCACTTTAGTGATCAACTAGAATTAATAACAAACATAATGCTGGCTGAATTTATTATTTACATCAAAGCCTCAAATAAATCCTTGAGAACTTCCTTCAAGTGTATACTTGATTCTAGTCCAATAGATAGTAAAATATTAAATTATATTGACAGCCAAGACAAATGGTAAACTGGTATAATGGAAAGAGCCTTCAGATTTAAACTTGTCCTCAAGTGAATGCACCTTGCTTCTTTTAAAGGAAGTGGGGAAATACAGGCTTTGATTTAAAGAAAGAAAAAAAAAGAAAGGCATTCCACTTGGTTTACATGAGAAGATACAATTCTCTGAAGTTCAAGTGACTCGAAGTTGGTCTCTTAGCAGTAAGGGATATGTTCTATTTAGTCATTAGTCGTACTATACATAGGCTGAGGGAGAAAACAGAAGACTGTACAATGTCTTTTTCACCAGGAAATTGGGTACACTCATATGAAGATAGCAGAAGGTGTGAACTCACTTCTACAAATGGCTGGATTGCTGGCCAGGCTGTGTCAGAAGACCGCAGCCCCTGCAGCGAGTTAGATATTTCAGTAAGCTGAAGCTTGTATTCTGGAAGGTGAAGGCCTGGTGTGCAAGGTCAGCAGCTCCGTGTGCGTCCTGAATTCTGCATGCCGAGAGCCTGTTCCCTTGGGTTTGCTAAATCACAGAAAAATAACCAGGTTGTACTGTAAAAACGTTTTGTACTTTTTTATTTAGACCAATAAAGCTTTAAAATTTACTTTAACCCAAGAACTCTGACCTGCTGTATAACTGAGGTGGAAGAGAGGACTGTGACAGTCCAGAGCGATGGGGTCTGTCCGGTGCGCTCAGCAGAGCTGCTTGTGTCAGTGGTGCAGAGACCTAACAGTAGGAGAAGCAAAAATTGAATCCCATTGCTAGTGATTATGCTTCAAGGCTGGTCATGGAATTAATAAAGTTACAGTTGAAGCATGCTGAGCAGGCGCCACTGCTGGGTGCTCTTCGTGTGCGGTGGGTAAGGAAGGCATTTTCATCAAACAGTAGAAATACTACACACATCTTAATGGTGCCAGCTATTTATTTTGGTTATTTCTTTAAAAAACTTACCAGATGCTGGGATGCTCTGTGTTTGAGTTCCCTTTTCTGATCTGGCTGTCCAGGTTAGATAATGTCATTTTGCTATAGTTGCAGCATACCAAAAAGCTACAGCATTGTGCTTTTCCTGTCTGTTCAGTTTTGGAAACCACCGTGCCAGTGCAGATGAGCAATAAAGTGTGAAATGCAGAGCGAAAGCAAATATAAATTGAATATGACCACCTCCATATCAGATGTGAGATACAGGTCTCCAAGCAGAGCTATCATAATATAATTAAGTACTTTCTGATTATAGCAGTCAAACAAAGCATGGTAGAGGTACAAGTTACCGGTGCCTGTGCTTCACCCTCCCCGTTCTGTTGATGTTTTCCACCCCAAGTATTCAGCTGCCCACACCGCAGCTGCCTTAGTGCCAAACTGATCTTCACTGGCAGCCTAAGTCGGCTTCAGCCTAAAAACTGGCCCCTGCGCTGAAGCAGGGGCTGGTGACACCCTTGCTTCTCCCACTCGGGCACAGGGGTCCTGCGTTTCAGCAGCATGAGACAGTAGCATCATCGATTGCCCTATCAAGACTCTGCAGCTCCTCTGCCAGAGCCTGAAAACAACCCTTTTTAATTCAGATTTGAATTGCAGGAGAGCAAGTTAATTGACAGCTAAAGCGCAGGCACGTTTGAGCTTGGTCCCAAATGGCACAAAGCAAACAGCTCCTAGAATAATGGATGCAATGCTCGAAGTACAGTCTTCCTTCACCAGACAGGTATTGAACTTACTTTTAGAGTCCCAGCCGGTGAACTGTCACTACTAGCAGAAACACTGTTAAAAAAATTATTAATTAGTATTAAGGGGCTTAAGCTGCTGAGTTCTTTACAGACGCAGCATCACAGCTTTTGTCCCCAACAGCTTAAATAAGGCACATTTTAAAGAGTAGGTTAATTCTGCTTTGGCTCTGCATCACAGCCAGCCTACTCTGTCTTTGCTTTCGAGTTAAATATGTTCACTGCTGAAGGGGGGAGGAAGGGGTGTTACATTGGCGGTTTCGTAAGACAGCACCCATCGTGTCAGGAGGACTCATAAGGCTGGTCCTTGCCTCGTTAGAGGTACCTACCTGCCCCTCGGCTGGGTCGCTCTGCTGGTGCCAGGGGAAGGGTGAGAAATGGGGAGGGTCGCAGTTCCTGTGTTCCTGTCTGGTTTAAGTGGGTTTATTTTGGCTGTATCTTCAGCTCCAGTTTGGAGCTGATTCTTTTCTAGGCTAATCCTCTACAGCACTGGGGGCACGTAATCACACTCACTTTTTCTGAGAAGAGGAATAGGATTGATCTGAGGGGCCACCGATGCAGCCTGTTCTACCAGAGGTGGTTGGTCGCCCCCTCTGAGCACAGAGCTATGCCTTCCAGCAGCTAGCTAAGGCCACCCAGCTTCCCTCAAGAGCCGCACCAGCAGTGCCAAGACTACTTTTCTAATGCGTCTTAAATTGAAAACAGGAAGTGCATGGCTCACTTGGCTGATGACCTAGTGTGAGGAAAGAGAGACACGGACCCAGGGGAGATGTCATTTCTCCCTGTTCAGACAACACAGGATCTGGCAACTTTGGTTGAGCACCAGAAATCCTCACACACCTAAAAATGAGTCCTGAAAGGACAGGGCGTCAGTGAACACACTCACATGTAAGTACCCACTTGTTGCAAAGAAAAAAGCCACACATAAGGCATTGCAGAACAAGACTGTAATAACATCGATGGAAGTTCCCATAACAGTCCCTGGCTGTCTTCCAGCGCAATGAGATCACTGGCTGAAAAGTACTTCAGGAGCTTTACAAAGCTGAGAAAGGATTTACCCCTCTCTACAGCTGGCTGTTCTGGAGAGCTGCAGGGGGGGATTTGCTCCAACTCCCAGTAAGAGGAGGGAAGATGCTCCACAGCCAGCTCCTGCCCTGCCTGCTTCAGCCCCTCAACTTTCAAACTCTGACTGGGGCAGCTGAGGAACCTCATACCAGGGAAATGTAATTGGTCTCATCCATCTCCCTGCTTAGCGAGGAGAGCAGTAAATCCTGCATTTTAACATTTCAGCCGTGCACTCACCTAACGGCTGGAACTTTCTGGGAGTTCTCTAGCTGGATCTATTACCGTGTGCCAAGGATCTTTTACTGCTGTTAATCTTCTCCTAATCGTTTAATGACTCCCTCCAGTAATGAGATGAATCACCAGTAGGTGTAACTTCACCACACATCACTGAAAACACAGCTTGCCCTTCCCCTCCAGCAAAAAAATCCAGTCTGCAGCACTTCATGGGAGGTGGGAGCTTCTTCAGCCATGAGGGCCAGGCACACTGTTTCAGTAATGAAGGCATCTCCTCGTTTCCTTGCCTGTCTGTGAGCCTGTGCAGAGCCAGCACAGGCTGTGGCTATTGCCGTGTCTGCTCCAGGCTCTCTGGGACCTTGCTGTCCCCAACCTGTGCAGACATTTTGCAGAGCATTCAAACATCAGGAAATGAGGGTGCAAGTCAAAGCTGGGCTCGGGAAAGCAGAAACCCAGGCTGTAGCTGACTGCATGCGTGTACGTCCCTGAAGCACACTAAGTTTTCTCTGTTGTAAAAATCCTGTGGAAGCAGGAACTAAGGCAATTGTAGGAGCTACAAGTAAATCTTCCCCTGAGCCACTCTCCAAACCAGCCACTGTTCCAGCTACGCGAACGGTGGCCACCCATGGTCTCAGCGATTCTGCTAAAAATACAGCCTCATCATCTGCAGGAGGAAGCACCTGACATCCCCTTCTCCCGCTCCAGGGCTCACTCGCCCCAGCTCCACTTCTCAGCTCACTCTGACCAGTCCTAGAGACGCAACGACAGGCTGCCTTCCTTCTTGAAGCACAGTTTTCTGAACCTCTTGGGAGGAAGGAGGCTTTAAAGAGCTGCCTTTTCTCCCCAGCTGCTCCCGCACCCCGTTCCATGTCATGTCACGTGTTCCCATCTCAGTCTGTCTCACCCAACCACGCAGACAATGCCTGCATCATAGCAAACCGTAATAAACCACTGTGTTCTCTTTGAAGGCTTTTCAATTTTAATAAATAAGTGGTACAATGGTGCCAAATACGTGCATTGGGGCTCAAGAGATGAGGGTTACATTTCAGGGCTGACATTCCCTATGGCAATACTGAAAGACCGGTGCAGCTTCTGAGGCTGGCAGCTGTGGCTTGGACCTTCTAAGTTGTTACAGGGTCACAGTATCGTTATAAAACAGATGCCAAAACCCAAGGAAAACTGCCATAGACACATACTGTGAATTACAAGCCATGGATAAGGCAAGGATTTAATCCTCTTTAGTCTTTAGCTTTTATGAACAGGTCGGTATCTTATTTAGTTCCAGTGAACCACAGCTGTTGTAAAAGCAACCTCTGCCTTGCCAATTCATCTCTCGTAGGAAACCACTTCTGTAGGAGAGCAGAGGAACTAAATCAGAACATAATCCCTATGTCTTAATACCATCGTGCTTGAGTCACCCTGACAAATTAAGTAGCTGGCTGCATTACTGCTCAGCAATTTAAAGATTCATTTCAGGCTTGACAGGAGAAAACATTGCATGGACTGGCCATCCTCTGTCGAGTAGACGTGCAGGAGAACAAGACAGGATAACGGGCCTGTGGTCACTGCCAGGCAGAATGCTTTCTCCAGTTGCAGGTTTGCAGCTGGACTGCTGTGGGACTTCGAGCAGAGCATTTCTTCCTTTCAGCAGCACCCCTTCTACGTGATCTTGGGCACAATGTAGAGAAGAGGTTTCACTGAGGGATCGAAATCTCCCCTCGCCCTGTGTGCACGCTCACCGGGTGTGCTCTTACAGCTCAGCAACAGACTTCTTCAGACTTTATGCAGAATACTTGAAATAAGAGGGGAAAAAAAAAGAAAAAACAAAACAGTGAGTGACTTTTAATCCTTGCTTTCAACTTCTTAACTCTGCTGCCTGTTACATTTCCTTTCCAAGGACAAGTGGTGAGGTACACTACAAAGTGCCCACATCTAAGCAGAAGTCCCAGCCGTGCTCCCAGCTGATGATCCCTGAGCAGAGGGCACAGAGATGCCAGGACACCAAATTCACCCTCCCTTGATGGAGAACTAGTGCTGGCATTTGTTGGTTGGACATGGAAATTTTACAGCATTACTCTGCTAGCGAAGGCTATAACAGAGGCATCATTATAATGGCAAAAAGTGCGCTGGCAATTTCAATTTACTTACAGAGCTGCCAGAAGCTATTTACACATACAACCATGCTAGCATTTTGCTAGGGCTTACGACTGGAAGTTTTCCCAGAAAAATCTGCATCACCAGTGCTTCGCAGCACAGCTATTCCTCCCTCTTCTGCCTTCCAAGCACCATTTATCGCTCTGGGGGGTGGATTTATGGTAGCTCCTGTGCTGCTTTGATCATTGCTCTCCACCAAACCAGGTGCTGTCATTACAGCAGCTTTGCTAAACATTTTGGGCATCTATCAGCCCCAATTGTTCCTCTCCCAGCTCTGAAGGCTGTGGGCACCCTCCCCGTTACAAACAGCAGTCTGGTGTGCCCAGTGCCAGAGCCACCACCAGAGCAAAAAGCAGGGGCACGTTGCAACTAATGCAGAAATGTAACCCCCTCCCTCCTTGAAATTTCTCTGTGGAAGAGGAATAAATGCCAAATTGCTTGTAAGAGTTACCATTACAGCACTTTTCATTTTTTTTCATGGATAATCTGACTTCCTCCAGAGGCTTAGCCAACACAACGCCTGGCTAGTCCATAAACTTCCGAAAAGAAGTTTCTCTGCCAAAAAAGCAGGTTTCTCTCCAACCCCAGCTGAAGCAGTCTATTTTTATGATACTCTCTTGGTTTGCTCCAGCTCAAGCAAAGAAAGATGCCCGGCAACGAGGCTCTGCTGCGGCAGGTTTCTCGGGCTGGGGCTCCCATGTCCAGCTGCATCCCGGCAGAGGCTGGCGTTGGACCATGGGGATGAGTAGGTGTCTGTGGGCAGGGCAAGAGCTGTTCAGCCAGGCTGAGCTGTATTTGCTGCCTGCCAGACCACATGCACATGCTGTTGGGAAGCAACTTGTATGGCACAAGTGACACACCCCGAATCCTTGACCAAAAAGCACAACCCCTCCTTAGTGCAGCCTCTCCTCCAGCATAGTCTTTGCGGGTAAGAGCCAACGCTGCAGGGACGGGCTGCTGAAGTTCAAAGCAAACACTGTAATGTGGAGGATAGGGCTACTGTGCTTTGCATGGTGGGGACAAATCTTAAATACTCAGAAAGATCTGATTTGTGGGGCTGCCCACCAATGGTACCCATAATTCGGGGAATATAAAACCCTGTAACTGGAGCTGCCAGCATGTGGCATTCAGGCAATCGCTCTGGGTCTCTGCTTCTGCTCAGAGAGTAAAAACCCAACAAGGAGAGCAGTACTGGTCCCAGTCCTAGTCGAGTCTGGAGCAGGGTGACCAGCACAACATGCTCTAACCAGCACGTAGGGACGCCACAGACCTATACCTTAGCACAGCGGTGGTTTATTTTCTTCTTTCCCTTTCCCAGCAATCCACATACACTTGTCTGCTGAGAAGAGGCTCTGCAAGGCCTCCTGAGAGCCTGTTTTGAGCCGTAACAGCTAATGCAGAACCTCTCCCTGCCTTTGGTATATCTGGGGCTGCTTTCCTTCCATACATTACCATGCATTTGCTGTCGTTGTGCTATATCACCCACTCACTCAGTGTCATGCATCTTCCTGCAGCTCTCCGCAGATGGTTTTGACTTTAACTGCCTTGAGTAATTCTTTGTCATCAGCAACAGGTTGCTGCTGATAACGGGGCAGGATATGCGGTCTTAGCACAGCAGACAGGGCTCAGCTGAGCCCAGGGAATCCCTTACACTGCTCAGCCTCCGAGCAGTGCAGACTGGAGGGGTTTTGGGGGTTCCTGCCTGCCAGCACGTAGCAGCACTGCCTAAAGCTGCGCTGAAACAGCTCTGAGTTCCTGTTGGAGGAGGGTGGCACTAGGGCACAGACTTTGACAAATGTGTCTCCGTGGTTGGCGTTAGTCATCTTGGCATCAGCCAGAGATGTGGTATGGCACAGAGCAGGCTGGCCCTGCTCCCTGCACCGGGAAGGGGCAAAGCTCCAGCCGAGCTCTCTTCAGCATAAACACCGTCCTCCCACCTCTAAATAAACACATCAAACATTTGCTTGCTTTTACCTGTGCTTGGACAGAGGGGCAGGGCCTGATGCGGGGGCCGTGTTGATGTAGTCCGGCTCATCGTCCAGGCTGTCTGCCTGCAGAGCTGTGAGTGAGGGTGGGAAGCACTGGTCAGTACGCAGCTGGGCTGAAACCACACGCGCACCACCGACACACTGTGTGCCCTGCCAATCTCCAGCCTTAGGTGTTGACCTGTTTTTGTGCCTGGGCTAAGAAACCTCAGATGGCAGTGTCGAGGTCTCCTTGAAGGGACTTCAAAATGGTCATGGCAAATTTGCAAACACTCTGCAAGCAGCGAGCATGGGCAGCTTTTCAGAGCCAAAAGAGACAGACTTAGATTTAATCTGTAGAGTATGCAAACAGGATAACAAGAATCAGTTTGCATAGGCAGCTTCCACACCAGAGACAGAAAGCTCTTAAATATATATGTATACACTCACCGCTATCTCCCAGGCCAGACTACCCCCTACGCTGCACAGGAAGCCACACGTTAGATTAAGCTGCTGTTTAGCTTAAGAAATATGCACCCCCCGATTACTGCAGGAGAGTGGTGGGCTGACCCACTGGATGTGCATGGCACACATTTCTTTGTCAGAGGGGATCCCAAGGCTGAGCTTGTACCAGGGCAACTTCAAAACATATGAGGATACAGGACATGAAGCACAACATTCTTCTGTAGCATCCTACAGTTGGGGTTTAAGGACAGCCACCTACATGGTGGCCTTCTGAGTGCTAAAAACATCACGACCCATCACAGCAATATTCAATTACAAGTGTGTGTAGCAATTTGGACGTTGCCTTAGATGTTTATCATGGGCAACTGGGGAAAGAATAACTCAAGGTGGGGGCGAAGGCTGCATTGCCCTGAATGTGGTCTGTACCAGTCTAGCACAACAGGCACCCTGCCCATGAGCCCCATCCCTAAATAGTAAACAATTGTTGAGAGCATACCTTCCGCTTGCTGGAGTTTCCATACGTGTATCGCCGTGCTGTTCTCATAGTCTACAGCATCATCTGTGACTAAGAAAAGTGTGGACAGGATGATGCTGAACAGCAAGTGGACTAAAAATGGACCTTTGTGAAACCCCCCTCCTACTGCCCTACCCCAGCCGCCCCATGCACGTGGCTGAGTTTCCAGCTGGGTGGCTGCTGCCCTGCCACGGGTCTGCTGATGCTGCCTCATCATTTTGCCAGCCCTGACCACGTGCCTGGATATCTGCAGGCATGGATGGGGATCAGACTGCTCCCCGCGGCCCCTGCCTGTGGCAGGAGCAGGGCAGGCTCTAGCAGTGCAAAAAGGGTTGGGTTGATTCACTGAAGGAAACCAGCTTGACTTCCTATTTTGATTGCAACATCCCAGGACAGAAACTGGAAGCCCTTAAGCAGACACTGTGGTCCAACGGCATCCTCCAGCAGCTCACCAGCTGCAGCCTTCTTGGGCTGGACACGGTGAGAAACCTGGGCTGGGGGCTAGAACCATGATCAGTCTTGGCTGTAACAACACTGAAAGTCCTGGAGAAGCAATGCAGACCCCCAAAGCACCTGAATTGCTGCAGAGATCTAACCAAAGGGATCAGCTCAGAGGTGAGCTCTTGGCTGGTAAGGCATCACCTTGTGCGTTTTCCTGCAGAAAGGGGAAATGCTCCAGGTCTGCTCTGTGCCTGTGGCAGCCCCTGCTCTGCCAGCACAGAGCTGATGGGAAGAGCTGAGCCTGCAAACAAGGGGGTTTCCCTTGGCCGAGCCAGTTGCCATCCCTCTCCGCGCTTCCAGATACCTTTGTACAACACACATGAGCCGTGACAGCAACACACCTACCCGGGTCGGAGCCGTGAGACACTCCAATGATGACGTTTTGATAGGAATGGGAATCCTCATCTTTCTCTGGCAGAGAGAAGAAACAGGGGGACAAAGGGCTTAAGGAAGCATGGGTGACCTGGGAAGATCCCTTGGCACCTGCAGGAGAGGGCTGTTCCCCCCAACAAAATGCACATTAGCTAAAAAAAATTGTTAATCTTCATAACAGCCTGCACTGACCTGGGGCATCCCCAGGAGAGTTGAACTGGGCGATCACTGCCCCACGGGAGCACCATCACCACCGATGCCACGGAGCACTGGCCAAGCCTCTCTGGCCATGGCACTACTTCCGAGCCACCCAAGGGTGAGAGGCAAAAGCCAGTCCTGAGGCACCCTAAATTTTCTTACTGAGGGGAATAAAACCCAACAAACATAATTAGCATCCCTACAGCAGCCCCTCAGGCAAACAGGGGATGGGCTGACTCCGGCAAGGGGTGAATCCCCAAGCACCCAGCCCGGGGTAGCAGGGAGGGGGTTTTCCTTCCCAGCAAGTGTTAAGCTTGTGACTGCAGTGTCTTCTTGGGCTTATTCTCAGTGTCTGGGAAGGAACTGAGCCCCATTCCAAGCACAACATCTGTCTGAGCCCAGTACACAAACCTATTAGCAAGTAGAACCAAGATCTGCTTAAAAGAATTAAAAAAAACCAAACCCAACCCCAAGCTCTTTGTTCTGTTGCTGGTGATTTCAGATGTGAGCAGCTGAATCACACGTGTCCCTAAATTGCTAACCTCAAAACCTGCATCCACTAGCACTGAAAACACCACTGGCACCCATCAGTTAGCATGGGTACAGCACCTAAGCTGGAAAACCTTGCAGATGATGTAAGCATGGCTGCTGCCCACCCCACGACCCCCCACGCTTCTCCGAAGCTGGAGGGAAGAACCACTGAGCTCAGATGGGATGGGGCAGCCCCCACACTGGCAAGGGCTCTGCTGCCCCAAACCACGCCGGGCAGGAGGGGGAGGCACCAGCTGAGCAAGCTCTGCCACAGCTACGCACCAACACTACCCCTAGGCAGCCCTCAGCCACTGGAGAAATGTTAAAACTAATAAGGGATACAGAAACATTAATGGTAATACATGCAGGTTTCTTTTTCTCCCTTTTTTCCCCCCCTTTTTTTTAATAAGTTAAATTTACTTTGTAAACAAGATATTTTTTCTCTTTTTTTCTTAGGTTTTTTTTCTCCCTCCAGTCCCTTTAAATAAAAAATAAGATTTGCGTTCTGAAATTCATTTTAGATAAAAATCGATTGATGTCCGAGTCAGCGCAGAGAAGTGCTGAGAACCCAGAGAGGTGAAAACATTTCATAGATGCAATATTTGCTTGGAAAAGATGTGTTTGAAGGGAGCGGTGCGTTTTATCCCACCTTCATTTGCTAGCCTCAAACCAAGCATACAAAATATTTGATGGCCTCTCTTTGGCAAAAAGCTTCTGGACCAGGACACGGACGTACCCTTTCCTGCGTGTCTGGGCAGGACCCTGAGGGGCTGCAACCTCCGCTCACCCAAACCAGACCGAGCTACAAACAGGAAAATGGCCTCGTTAACCCAAACGCTCCTGCAGCGGAGGATAATTTGCTGCTGCCCAGAGACAAAACAGAGCGAGAACAAAGTGGTTTGTGCAATCAGAGCCATTTGGGCGGTCCTGTTTATAACCAACGGATGGACTGATGGGCACTTGGGCATTCCTCATCCTCACAGCTCCACTACAACCTTAATGAAAGCATGTCCTGGGCCCACGCTTGCTTCAGGGCCTATGGCAATGATGCACAGACCTAGGTGAGAAAAGTCTCACCGGCTCCCTGGAGCCATGGGACAGCCGGGCTGGCGGCTCAAGAAGAAACCCATCTCGCTCACATGGAGACCTTACCATTGGGCGGCGTGAAGAACCGGGCACAGTTGTAGTAATCCAGAGATATGGGCTCCCTGCAAGAAGAGCCACTGTTAGCTCCTCCTGCCCAGGGCAGTCCACAGGCTCCCCAGCCTGAGCTACGGGAGAGCCAGGAGTGTGCAACCACACTGGGACCAGCACAGCTCTGCTTGATGGCGCTGGTGGGCAGCAACCAGCTACTTACACGTAAGCAGCATCCCCTCTCAGGCAGTCCTCTGCAAGCAGAAAGGGGTTGCTGTCAGCACACCGTACCATTGCATAAACTGAAACTGCCATTCTGAAGCACAGCTGGACAAATTCCCCGAGCACAGCTAGAGCAGATGTCCCCAGCAGCCAGAAAGCCTCGGCACGGCCCCGAAGCCCTTCTGTGAGCAGAACTGGGGGGCTGGAGCAGGGGGAGGCAGCCCTGATCCACCCCAGGCCCTGAAAAAACCCAGGGCTCATCACTTCTCACGGAGAGATCCTGCCAGCTAGCAGGGAGATCGGGAACGTCCTCCCGCATTTGGGAAAGGAGAGCACAGCTCGACATGCCAATAATCCTCTTAGCATCCCGTCCCCCTCCGCTCTTACCGTTAATCAGATCAGCGCCTGTTTTACAAAGCAATCGTTAAGTTAACCAAGCCAGAGCTCCGCCAGCTGCAGCGCTGCCTGCCTGCACGCTCCCTGCCAGCCCCCATCCCTGGCCTTCCCTCCCCAGACACGCGACCACGGCATTTACCTGTCAGGAAATTCTGATACCTGGACTCGGTCCTGCTCCCTGGGGAGAAGCAGAGGGGTGCGTTACACGCAGGCTCCGGCTGAGTGATGGGAGCCATTTGATGATGGAGCCACCAAGCGCTGCGGCATCAGCAGCTTTGCCCCTGCTCAGCTCCTCGCTTGGGGCTGGGGGACGCGGCTGCAGGGCTGGATGCCCCAGGGCAGAGGGGTTGGGACAGCCAGGGGTGATATTTTAAATAATTTGGCTCTGTGGCACCAACCAGGACTGGTCAGCTGTAGCGTGATGAGCACTGGGTTTTAAACTCAGACCCAGGCTAGTTCTTACTAAGTGTCACTGCACAGACCAGCCACAAGCATCATGCATACGTGCTAATAACAGCAGTTAATTTTGTCATCACCCAGCCTGCTTCCAGGATAATCCCCTGCCCCATGCCCTGCCTGGGGTACCAGCAGTGAGTAATAAGGCTCTGTCTTCCGAAAACTGGTGGGACTCCCCAACCGGCATCTACACAAACGAGTTGAGATTTGCAACATCCCCATTTATGAATTTTGCAGTAGGTGCTTCCCCTGCAGCTGCACAGATGAGGAGAGCATTGAATTGGTGCCAGTCCTGAGAGAGATGCTCACCATATCCAGCGTGGCAGGAGGCACCGAGCTCCTCGGTGGTTTTCCTGAAAGAGAGGAAAAGGCACTAAAATCCCAGGTCTGAGCAAACCGTACCAGGGGTTACAAACCACAGTGGTGGGTAAGCCAGGAGAGCCACCTGTGAAACCTCCCTGTGAATTTATACAGGAAAGATATCAAGCAATGGGAAATGAAGAGTTCGAGGTGAAATCCCAAAATGGGAATAGCTGTGCCTGATGATTGCAGCAGAGTTATTGAGGCTGCGGAGTTCTTGGGGGTTTTGGTGATGGGAGAAGGGGATTTCTCATGTCAAACTGTTTATAAGCAAAGAATGGTGGTTTCTTTTTCATGATATACCTATTATGGACAGCCACAGCTCATTTCCTTGGGTTTGATTTAAATGGTTGCCAGTAGAACCCAGTCAGATTGAAGAAAATCCAGAAGTCTAAACCCACTATTGACCATCAATAAATTAAGTATAGCCCAAGGCCCACCTGTAGGTTCCAGAACCCAATCCCAAATCCTGAACCTTCATTATGTTGGGTGAAGGTCATCCAACCTTGGCTCTTTAGCCAGGTTTTGGTTTCATTTTTTACCTACCTTGCTATTGATAAGTTTCCAGGTTCCTTGATTTGTTCCAGCCTTTGGGTTGTAGCTAGCACTGAGAACAAACAGAGATATTAGTTGTTGTGGCAGTGGCAATTTCAGAGAGCACAGAGCACCCAACAGAGAGGATTCCCCAGTACGGGCAAACATTTTTCTAATGCATCCTGAAACATCTTCCAAAGCGTTCCTCAGAAGTACGTAGTGGCCAAAATGGGAAACAAATAGAGAAAAGGCTGGTGTCTGTGCAGACCACAGAGCTACACACGCTGGAGGAAGCTACAACCCCAACCGCTGCCTTATTGCCGATTCTCCCCCAAACCTGCTTGATTTGGGGGCCTCTCCCACGCTCAGCACCAGTAGGGTCATACGCTTTGGTCAGGCTGGGCTGAAGCAAAGACTCGTAGGGGATTTGGTGGGCTCAGACCCAGCAAGATTCCAGGGGAAGGAGCGGCCCTGCGGAGCCCAGCTGCAGATGGTGACATTTAATACAGACCCTGTCAACAGCTCGTTTCAGGACAAAAATCAAAAGGTCAGCATCTAACCCAACTTGCCGCAGGAAGCAGTAAGGGGGTGATGATAAATGAGTCACTCCTATCAATTTGGGTTCACCCACACTGTCATTTTCACCGGGCAAACAGGGTGGTTTGAAGAGCCCAAGATCAAAAGGCGTTGCATTGCAGTGACATTGCTTTGGTGATTTATTTTCAATGCAAAGGGAGATTTTTTTCCTAGAGCTCAGAATACGCATCACTAGAAGCATCTAAGGTAGCTTTGACAATCTCGGTCCAATACCCTTACACCACCTGCCTTCGAGGTCACCCTTTTATTTTTACTTTCTGCCCGTTCTGTGCATGCAGGACCCCCACCCTGCAATGCAGGAGCCCTGTGCAACGTTCATACTCACTGGAACGGGATCGAATCACCTCAAACCTCTGCTGGCTTTCAAGCCTGGAAAAAAAACAGAGGTAGAGGTACAATCTCAGCTGAATTTTGGGGTCTATGACAAGGAAAACAGATGCAAGAGACCTCCCTGTTTGGCGAGCAGAGGGAAGAGAGCACAGCCCCCACGCTGGGCTCGGTGAAATGCCGAGGTGCATCACTCAGCGCATCACGCAGGACCTGCATGAGCTGTGAGCACCTTCCTGGAGTCCTCTTTGACCCTTTAAAGTCAAGATGTGCTTATGGACTATTGGAAGAGCAGCCAACATCAGCTAAGGGAAGGACCCAGGTATGCAGAAAACATCATTTAGGGTAATTCCTACTCTTTATGCACCAGTTAAGGCCAGAAGAGCATTTTCATCCAGAAAAAAAAAAAAAAAAAGGATAAATGGCTTCAAACCCCACTGCTTCACCTCCGTTGCTGTCCCTGCTCCCCCCCCAACATCCCTTAACATCAACCTGAAAACAATAACATACGTGATCAACGACAAAAATAACATACATGCCCAATAAGCTCTTTACTTCTTCGTTAACAGGAGAGCTGCTCTTCAGAGCGCAAGGGGATTCAATGGCTCTTCAACCATAGGTGCACACAGGCACTTATTAACTCTGATTTTGGGACCCTGAAAGTGTCCCTCCCCCCTCCCTTTCATTTGGGGCACCCTCCCATCCCAAGCTGGTATCCATGGCACAGGGCTGGCGGGGAGATGTCTGCAAATATATAGAGTTAAACCACTTTGCTTGCAAAGAGTCCTAACCAACCCAAAAGAGATCTCTAAAAAGAGCACACAGTACCACGAGTCTGAAGTCGAACCACCTCATCCAAGTATAAATTTCAAAAATCGGAACGATTCAGCACAAGCCCACAGGGGACGGAGCCTGCACTGGCTTTTCCATTGGTCTCCAATGGACCACACCAAATCCTTTCCCCTGGTCCCAGGCAAGCGGGGCAGAAGCAAACACCCCAACCCCGTGAGGCCTTCGCAGCACCCCTTTGTACCATATTTGCTCCTATAGAAAAGGTTACAAGCCAGCTTTTTTTTTTTTTCCTTTATATCATTTAGCTGTGGTTTGTCTGTTGGGGAAGGAAATAAGGGGGGTGCGTGTGTGTATAATGCATTTCCTTCGTTGCTTATGCTGCAGGTTGGTGGTTGCTTTGGCACAGGGTCCTACCAGCACCAGCCAAGGGCAGGGTCTTGTTTACAAAGTTACCAACCTCCCCACCTCATCTTGAGGCACGATGGGACAGGAGAAGGACTTGCCCTTCCGATTCTCCCAGACCCTTTTCCAGCTACTTAATGACTCACAGGCAGAGTCAGAGCTTCAGTTTCATTTTGGATTATTCTTTGCAAAGGCATTACCCCCTCAGCAGCACCCTGGGCTGAGGCACACCCCATGCTGGGATTATTTGATTTTATTTTATATAAAATCCAGATTCCAGCTGCGAGGCATGGAGCGGGTCTGGCTCTGGCCAGGGTCTCACCCCGGGTGAGCTGTCTGGGGGAGAAGTGCGACTGCGAAAGGCAACTTACTGGCTCCGGCGCTCGCTCGGCTGCTTCTCTCGCTTGTTAGCTGGAAGACAAAAAAAGCAGCTCTTAGAAAAGGATGATTTGGGAGTTAAAAATCAGGAAGACCAATAAAACACAATCACAAACTGTCGTCAGCCAAGAGCACAAGCAGACAACAGAGGCAGCGAGCAGTAGTTGTGATAGGGTTTTTTTAAAACCATTTTTTAAAACCAAGCGTAGTATTTGGCTCGGACACCACAGAGCAAGCAAGCCAGCCATTCCTGTCCCCAAAACCCCACCCTGCAGCCTCTCCCAGTAAAACCCATTCAGCACTGAGCAGTGGGCTCGACCCCCCTGCCAGGGTGGGTGCTCACCCCGCTCCCTTTGTATTTAATGTGTGGATTAATACACCCCCAGCATGTCCTTCCGTGCCTGCTCTGCCCCGGAGCCCCTACAGGATTTGTGCATCTGGATATGGTCCCCCTGTGCAGGGTGTCCCAAAGCCACCCACCATGGTGCCCATGGAGAAGGGTCTGCAACCCGGGGCATTGCACCCAGCCCAGGGAAAGGGTGCTGCATGTTGGGGGGTCCTTCCCCTCCAGCTGCTCTCTGTCCACCAGCAGAGACCCCTCCCCAGCCCAGGCTGCTGGGATTATCCCCGCCATGGCAAAGCTCCCCAAGCCAGCACATGGCTGAGCAGGACCACAGCCGCCCGGAGGGGACCCCCCAAAAGAAAAGGCTGTGCCCAGCGTGACCCCCCTCCCCAGCCCATGCCGGGGCCGTGGGCAGGACCCCAAAGTGCACAGGTGTTGCCTTACCGGAGAGCTGGCATCTGATGCAGAGGCTGACGGCCACCCCGAGCAGCATCAGCCCCACAGCCGCCCACAGCAGCTCCAGCTGCGCCATGGCCCGGCCGCATCCAGCCTGAAACACAGCAGCGAGGGAAACCCTGTGAGTCCCCCAAAGAGCCACGTGCCATCCACCCTCACACTCCCAAAGAGCTGGGCGTTCGTTGAGGATGTGGAAGAGACTTGGGGGTTACGCTACCAGGGGGAGCAGGGGCAATGCCTTTTCCATGTGCTGCTCTGGTCCGGGGGGCTGCCCACACACTTTCCACTCCTGTCAGACCTGAGCATCCCAGAGCCAAGCCCCTCATTTCACTGCAGGGGAGGGGTTCATGGGGTTTCCCTCAGGGCACTGGCACAAAGAAAAACCCACTTGGATTTATTCATTCCCCATCCCGTAACCCACGTTGCCATCATCAAACATCGTCAGCAGATACTATTTTTTAATATCTAGAAAAGAGGGCAAAATGGGAGGTGCTGGGAAATATTCAAGGCTGCCAAGATCTTTGTACAAGGTGCTCTGGCTATTTCACCGTAGCACAGAATTGCTTTAAATGTTGAATTCCCCACACTTTTTTCTGCGTTGAGCTGGCTCAGGCACCGGCTCTTCCCCTCCTTTCCCTGACAGGCCCTTCCACACACGGCAGCTAACATTTTGTAATAATCAGCATGATTTGGCTCCAATTTCTTCCTTTAAAATACAAAACATCCTTATAAATATCGCAGAAAACAGCCTGCTGGGATGGATCCTTTAGGCCATTCCTATTCCCACAGACCAGGTTTTCTTTACTTACAGATTATTTTAATTTATTTTTGTTTTTAATAAACAACTTCCTTGGTCCCTAGGGATGGAGACGCTTCAACTTGCCAAAGGCCAGGACGTCACAGCTCTGCCCACCACCTAACCTGAATCTCCCTTATTACAACTTAAAGGCTGCATCAGTATAGCCAATGTGAATGGGGGGAGGAAATATATATAGGGAGAACAAATATCAGTAACAGGCAATAGAAAACAGCAGCTTGGTTCTGCCTTGCTCAGCACCTTCGGCCTCTGCTTGTGTAAGGCAGAATAAATAACATTTCTCTGCCCAAACTGCAAGCTACACGGGCAGCCCCTTCACGTAGGAGAAAACCCAGAGACCTTGCAGCAGCTGAGCCTCTTGGTGCTGAGCAAGCACCCTCCTGCCCGCGTGGCTGGGGGGGTGGTGGGAGGCCCCCGGTCTGGTTTGGCACCAGAGCCCCAGTCCTACACCCGTGGCCTAATTACCAGGGCACGGTGTAAATGATTGTGGGGCAGGAGAAGGAAAGGAAAGACACAGTCCCCTGTTCTGGCTCTGGACAGCCCCTCAAGCATGGTGTTGCTCTGCCCCGGCCAGGAGGGAATGATGGCTGAAGGACAGGGTGGGCTGCCCAGGGTTGGGTGCCAGCATCCTCTCAGCAGTGCCCAAACACGGTCCAGCTGCCCCAAAGCCCCTAAATCAAGCAGGATGATGGCTCGGCTTCAAGACCACCCTGTCTGCTTGTGAGCAAACGGGGTTTATTTCCACTCCCTTGAAGGTCACCCAGACTTGCAAGGCCATTGCAGCTCCCAGCACCTGCTCACCATGGTTTTGCTCTTTATAGACCCCTCCAGGGCCCTTACCTTGCAGAGCTTCTTGCAGCACTTTCTGAAGAAGCTGGGATGAGTCCTTTTAAATTAGTGCTGTGCCCAGCATCCACCATGGAGGTGCAGGACCAGCACCCCCAGCTGCAGCCAACACATTGGGGACAGAGCCTGGTCAAAACCATGTGGTTTCCCACTTCATTTTTCCTTGGCTCAAGGAAATTTCAATTTTCCCTGGAAATCATGAGCTGCGGGTCATCCCTAGAACTTCTGCAAGAAGCAGCTGAGGGAAGTTGGCCCAATGCTGGTAACCAAAATTCATTATACGAAGGGCTATTACACTGCTGGTTTGTTTGGGGGGGTTTTGGGGTGTTGTTTTTTTTCTTTTTCTCTTTTTTTTTTTTTTAAGTAAAGGCAAGGCAAAGCCAAAGGCACTTGATAATGCTGACCTAGTTTACACCTTTGTAGGGCAGGCCACTATCTCCCTTCTAGACCCAGCTTAGTTTCTGCAGCGGGGCAGTATCACAGCAGAACCCAGTCTGCTCCCGAGCCCCACGCTCGACAGGAACGCAGAAGGTGGTTACTTGCAGGGGGTGCTGAACAGGGCACCGTGTGCCCCCTCCCCATCACAGCATCCCCCACAGGCACCAAGCCATGAGCACAATGCCAGCCCAGAGGCTCTTCTTTACGTTCACCAAAGCCCGAGCCCATGGAAATCCTTTCTCTTGGTACAAAACCTCCTCTGGTAAGGAGCCGACAGAAGGAAGCGATGAACAGATTTATGACAAGCAGAAGGCTGGAGGCGCTTACTCACGGCTGGCGGGATATAAATAAAATATTTGGAAGGCTGAACATGCTTTCCCTGCTCTCCGCCTTGGAGACAGCGAGGGGAATAACCAGGCTCGAGCCACCGTGGGCTGCAACGAGGCCCAGACATATCAGAAGGACACACAGAGTAAATAACTCGCTGATCAGCCTTGCTTTCAAGATGCTGCATTGAAACACGGGGAGAAAACAGGTTCCCAACTGCTTTCAGCTCTTCAGGAGTAAGATACAGAAAGTGGTAAAACGCCCTGTTCTCTTTATACACTTCTCTCTTCTCCTTTTGTATTTATATGTTTTTTTCCCCCTTTTTTCTGCCGACAGCAGTTTCTCCTTGCACAAGGAAGCCAGCACAGCCGCGGTGCGTGCCCCCAGCAGCGAGCGCTGCCTGAGCACCACCACAGCCCCACAAAACCCCCCAGGAGCAGCCGCTCCAAATAAGCAATTCCAGGGAGAGTAACCGGCGGGAGGCTGGATAAAGTCATGATCCCTGCAGCACGGCTCCTCTCCTGCAAGAGGGAAGCACGCCTCCCCGAACAGGGGCTGCTCTTTTCACAGCCTTGGGTATTTTTAGCAACCAGAGACACAAACTTTTTTTTTCCCCAAATGGGAAGAGTTAACGAACTTGCAGAGATCGCCCAGACCATACATGCTAGGTTGTCCTGGTTTCGGCTGGGATAGAGCTAATTTTCTTCATAGTAGCTAGCATAGTGCTGTGTTTTGGATTTAGTACCAGAAGAATGTTGATAACACACTGATGTTTTCAGCTGTTGCCAAGTAGTGCTCAGACTACTCAAGGACTTTTTGAGCTTCTCCTGCTCGGCCAGGTGCATAACAAGCTGGGAGGGAGCACAGCTAGCACAGCTAACCCAAACTGACCAAAGAGCTATTCCAT